AATTGCTTAATCAAATAATTTATAGGGAAAAACTTTTAAATCAATTATGTAATAACATAATTTAATATAAGTTTAACATGACAGCAAATGTACAACGTTTCGACAAGGTTTTGTCATATTAAAGTTTTTCTTCATTACCCATTTAAGCCGTCTCCAGCCATTATTAGTCTCAAAGTGGGTTCCTCGTCATCGAATATGGTATCACATATTCTATCATGTGAGACAACTGTTGTCCTCTTTGATGATGATAAAAGTAATGTCTCGACCTCTGCAATATTTGTCATATCCCAGCTGGACTGATTACCCCTAGTATTGGGTAATATGCCTCATCAGTACTTGATATGGCAGGTATAGTGTGATTGACATTTTACAGCTATTTTCCTAAGGGGCATTTCAGAAAATGACACAGTAGCTAGAGTGATTGCAACTTAACAATTTTCTTGATCACGTGTTATATAATGAGTGCACATACACTTGAACAACTGACAAGTTTTGAAAAATTCAATATAAAAATGGTAGAAAATATACTGTATGGTTTTATATCCCACCTGCACAAAGCTACATGATTTTGTACTACATATTGTCCACTTCTTTTAGTATGAAAGTGAAGTTTACAAACTTTTGCAGTTTCACCATAGTTACACAGTTGAAACATAGCATTGCTCAAGCAGGTTTTTAACCTTGCTCAAGGGTCAGTACCAGTTTAAAACACAGGCCCAAGCCATACATAGGCCTTGCTGACCATCCAAATAAAAAACGTATGGTTCATAAAAAGTAGCAAAATAGATGCAAGAGTGAATTATTTGTATTATGATTCCCAAATATTACTTGGGCTTAGGGCCACACTAAAGCTTAATATGGCCCTGCTGGGTGCTAACTAGGTGCCTTCTTGTCTGATTCTCTAGTAGGAATAACAACGAGCTTTTAACAAGCAAACTGAGATATTCCTGTCGACAAGTCAGGCAGTAGCTGTGGATGGACTCTCCCATGATCTGCATGGTCTATTGACTAATTGATCTAACAAGTGACAATTATCATTTTCTTGTGTGAGACACTGTACAATTTATAGTTATATTCAAATTTGTGTTGGGGCCCGAAAAAGCAGATTCTACATATATTTTTGACAGAATTTTATATATATTTAGAACAAATTTTACAAAACTCTGTAGAGACAGAGCTAAACTTATATTTAACAGTTTTACATATGATTTACTATTACTAAGTTCCAGGGGTTACTTAAAGAGATTTGAGTTAGATTAGTGAGACCTTAAATTTTTCGACTTCCTCTGTGATAACAAGGCCAGTGTACTATTTTTGTATAGTTTTACTTTTTGAGAACATTGCAAGTTCTCCAGTGACTATATAGTTTACTTCCACTTTTATTTGTTTAGTTTATTGAGTAAGAGTGTAAGTTTGCCTGCGAGTGAACAGTGGGTACATTGAGCACATTTAGCATTATTTTCTTTCTTTTCCTTTATATTGGAGGTGGCACTATAGATTCATGTTAACTTAGAGACACTCTTTCCTATATAAATATAGGGTAATACTCAGTTGTATATTAGTCCAGGTTACAGGGGGAAGAAAATGTGCTAGCAGGGGCTTTTGGTCTTTGACATTCCAGCTATACATACTGTTATTTTTTTTTTACATATACATAATAATTTTTCCTGCTGTAACCTGTGGTATTATCTTGAATTGTGTAATAACGTATTGTTACGACAGCGGAAGTCACGCGACGCTGGGAGCATGCGCGCTGGAGTTTCTAGAAAGACCATGACTTATCGAGGAACCTCGCGAATGTCCGAGTGCTTGCCAGGCGCCCTCTTTTTTAGATATAAGCCCGGCAAATAAAGCCACACTAGGCACCATAAGTAAAGTGTGTGAACCACTGTGATTTAT